GGGGCCAGGCCGGAACCTGCAGCGGCGGCCCCGGTTCCCGGCCGGCCCCGGCCCAGCGGCGCGCACCATGGCGGCGCTCAGGGGCTCGGCGCGGCGGCTGCTGCCGGGGGGCCTGGCGGGCCTGGGGCTGCCCCCCCGCCGGTACCGGTACAAGGAGAAATGGGTGAGAGCCCCGCGCTGCCCCCCCATTGTTCCCCTCCTACCTCCCCCAGGGACTCCCCGAAATCCTCCCCGCCCCATCGAAATAATCCTCCTCCCCCCCAACCTACCCCCGAAATCCTCCTTCACCCACTGCCCCCCTCAAAGCTGCCCCCCACTAATCCCCCCCGGAATTCTCTCCCCACACCCTGGGGCTCAGCCCGCCCAGTACCAGAGCCCAGCGACTGACCCAGCCCCACGGCTGCCTCCTGGCCCTCAGCCCCACTGACCCCCTCACCCCCAAAGCCACCTCCTGCCTTCGCTACTAACACCCCGAAATCCTCCCCTGCCCCTGAAATGTTTCCCTTCCCCCATCCCCGCCATTTCCCTGAAATTCTCTCCCTCCCCCACACCCTACTGATACCCCAAAAGATGCTCCAGCCCCTCGCTAATGCCTCCTCGAAATTCTCCCCACACACCCTTCGACTCGGGCCACCCAGTATCAGAGCCCAGCGACTGACCCAGCCTCCTGCCCCCCATGCCCCACTAACTTCCCGAAATCTGTCCCCTGCACTCCCTACTAACCCCCTGAAAAGTTTCCCTTCCCCCCATCCCCACTAACCCACTCTGCATCTAAAAATCATTCCGCTCCCCCTCCATCCTTCTCACTAATCCCCCCAAATCCTCTCCTGCCCTCAAAATCCTTCTCTTCCCTCCACAAGCCCCCTGTTAATCCCCGAAAATCCTCCCATCACACCCCTAAAATCAGTCCACTTCCCCCACATCCTCCACTAATCCCCCCCAAAATCCTCCCCCTGAAATTATGCCTTCCCCCCCTTAGTCATGTCTCCACCCCTCTGCTAATTCCACCAGCCCAAAATTCTCTTCTCTCCCCTCCCCTCTCCTCATCCCTTCCCTCTCACCCCAGGGAGGGATAGCTCAGTGGTTTGAGCATTGGTCTGCTAAACCCAGGGTTGGGAGTTCAGTCCCTGAGGGGGCCATTTAGGGATCGGGGCAAAAGTCTGCAGGGGGTCAGACTAGATGACCTCCTGAGGTTCCTTCCAACCCTGATACTCACTTAACCCCCCAAAACCTGAATCCTCCCAGCTAATGGCTGATCCCCCTCATTCTCCTTCCCATCCATAAATCCCCAGCTCCCATAGCCCCTTGTCTAATATCTCCTTTCTCCAGGCCCAGGGGTTCTGTCCCTTCCCTACCAGTAACACCCCACCACTACCAGTCCCAAGGCCTCCTTTCCACATGTTGAGCCACAGAAGCAACTACTGGTTCCACACGGCTTTAATGGAGCTGTAAAAACATGCTGAAGTGAGGCCATCTTCCCTTTCCACTCTGCACACCCAGTCTTGCTATTTTCAGACTGAGTGCAAATTAACCCAGCTTTTCTGTGTTTTGTGGCTGGATTGTTTGGGACTCAGTTAACGTTCCTCCTGGGACAGGCTGTGGCAGAAGTGCCAAGTGAAAGGTCACAGTATAAAAGTGTTTGGTTCTTTCACGTGCCTAACATTTTAATTCCTCTGAAGGCTGTCACTGCTCCCAAGATCTCGGCCATCCGGCTGGCTCTGCAGAACTTCGACATGAACTACAGTGTGCAGTTTGGCAGCCTGTGGCCCTCGATCCGTGTCAGCCTCCTCTCAGAACAGAAATACAGCGCCCTCGTCAACAACTTCTCTGATGCCGACAGGGTCAGCCGAGAGCTGGAACTTCTAAACGCTGTGGATTTTGTTTATGAATCTCAGAAAGCAGCTCGGCACGTGCAGTGGGATTCGCCTGTAGAACGAGTGAGGGGTGAGGAAACAGCGTCCCAAAAAACCCACAGAGAACAGTTGTCTGTGGAACAAACACAGACGCCATCATCGCTTTCTGCGTCCATCAGCCCCAACATCAAGTGTTACACATTCTCCAAAGGAGATGTCAGTCGGTTTCCTCCGGCAAGGTATGGCGCTCAGAAGCATTGTGGCCTGGAACTCAGGAGATCTGGGTTCTGTTCCTGGATCTGTCACTGGCTTGCTGGGTGGGTGTGGGGAAATCGCTTTAATCACTCCGTGCCTCAGTTTCCCCGTCTATAAAATAGAGATAATTATACTGCGTTCCTTTGTAAAGCACTTTGAGATCTACTGATGAAAAATGCTGTATAAGAGCTAGGTATTATTATTTATTATTAACTATTTTGTAACACTGATTGGAAAGTTTGAGGCGGTTGTGCTGTGTGTGTACTTGTTACAATTCTTTTCCCCTAACCCCTCCTCGAAAGCGGATGTTCAGTCTCTGGGTTTGAGGCTACCTTGTAGGAATCGTCTTCAACGCTAGGACTTGTTGAGTAACAGAAATAAAAGCCATTCGCCCCCTCCCCTCCCAAATTCATCACATACAGCATTGTATTTAGCTGCATTGAACTTAATTTCTACATGTTGCTTCTGTGGCTCAGCTGCTGGCTCTACACAGCTTTACCAGAGCTTGTGAAAACGTTGTGCTGGAGTGAGGTGAAGAAGCGTATTAGGGTTTTGTAAAATATGTCCAATATAGGGATATTTAAAGCAGACAAAGCACTAAGCAATGTACGTTGAGTAATTGTTCTTTGGTGTCCTGGAGATGACCTAGGTCATCATCGAATTGGTGTCTTCCATCTGGAACATTGTATTTTTCTGGGATTGTGTTTTTCTGTTCCTTCATCAAACATACCTGATGGGTAACTATCTCTGGGAACATGGCATTCGTGTGTTTTAACCTGAGCTTTTCAAGCTCTATATCTTTACTTCTCTTCAGATTTTCATAACACACTTGGTTTTCAATTATCTCTTGGGATTTCTAGACCAGATGCTTCAGGAATCCTTGGCTACTATCTGCTGGATGCAGCATCGCTCTTACCTGTCTTGGCTCTCAATGTGCAGCCTGGTGACCTAGTCCTTGACCTCTGTGCAGCACCTGGTGGCAAGTCACTGGCTCTTCTGCAGACAGGATGTTGCCGTAAGTAAAGTTGGCAATCCCACCCTTCACCTGTCCACAAAGGTGCTTCAGGGTATAGATGGGGTTAGATGGTTAGCAGGTGATCTTTGCTCACTATGACAGGGTTGAAATGATAAATTCCTTATGGACCCCAATTTGACTTTCTGCTCCCTCTCCCCAAGTTATATTGGCATGGAGTGTTCTGCAAAAGCCCATCTGTTAATGTCAGGTGGGTTTTCCCATCTGATCACTCTCCTGTGATTATAGGGGCTGGGCAATTGGGAGGTCAGTTTGTCTCTGTGTGTTGGTTTTCTTCACATTCTTTCTAAGTGTGTGTTCTGTTGTATCTCTCATGACAGGACACCTGGCCGCCAACGATATCTCTGCTTCCCGTAGTAACAGGCTGCGCAGAGTTCTCTGTAGCTACATTCCCAAAGACATCAGCAGTGATGTGCGCGTCACATCCTTGGATGGAAGGAATTGGGGGGAACTGGAGGGGGACACTTACAATCGGGTAAGTGGCTGAAAATATGAAAAAGGCAGATCTGTCTATCCGAGTTTCCTGGCATTGGTAGAGGAAAATGCTGGATGCTTCTGAGGAAGGCAATAATTTATTTATCCAACTATGCAATGGTGGAGAAGGGGGAATTCTCCCCTTAACTGTTGATCTGCAAGAGAGAACTTGTTGTTTAATTTCCCTTCTCTTAGCTGACATAGCTACAAATGCGATAGCATGAAATTATCAGCCCTTTTAAAATCTAGCTCTCAATCTGCCTATCCCCCAGATTCATGAGCAACCTACCAATGACAATCCAGTGTGTGTACCTGGGCTCTGATACCATGGTGATGGGCACTATCTAAACAGCTGACTAGATCAGAATGTGTGCAGGAATAGTGGAGGAATTGGGCAAAGGAAAAGGACTCTGAACAAATTTCTAAGCTTTAATCAGGTGAAGAACTGAGCTGAGATCCAAGTCCTCTATCACGCAGGTGCTTGTGGATGTGCCGTGCACGACTGATAGACATTCTGTCATGGAAGAGGACAACAACATTTTCAGTCGAATGAGATTGAAGGAGCGTCAGATGTTGCCAATGCTGCAGATGCGGCTGCTTCTGTGAGTGAGCTTGACCCTATCTGAGGCAGGTGATCTGTCTGTCCACCCAAGTTCTCATACTGGCTGCTGGGCTGAGTATAGAAAACCATCCCTCAGGGCATGTCGTGTGGGAGAGATTGGAGTCAAATGATACCTTGTTTGGAGAATTCATGTAGCTTCCTTTAACTGCAGCATCTGAGTGCCTCACAGACGTTAATAAACTTGTATCCTCACAATACCTCCGCGAGACAGGAAACTTTAGCATCACCATTTTACAGATGGGAAACGGAGGCACAGAGGTGGCACCCAGGGATTCTATAGCAAAAAAACAAATATTGAAGCCAATCTTTAAAATCCCAACCTAGTCCCTTAACCACAAGACTATTCCTCCTCTGCATCCTTTCTCAGCCTGTTCTGTGTCCCTGGAGCATGTGGCTGAATGAACTCTTAAGTCTACTGCTTATGGTCTCCTTTCCAGCAGAATGACCCATCCTGCTTCTGTTTACTATTTGCCTCACTGTGGGACAAATGCTTATTATCATTGCAGTGTTAAATTCTCCTGCAACTGCAGTGATAGTGTGGAGCTGGCTAGACTGTGGCATCCAGAAGCCCTGTCCATCTCTCACTAGCCAGGAGGTTGGCTTCCCCTTTTCAGCAGACAATCTGTGCTAATGACACACACAGTCACAGCAGGGCCTTACTCCTTTACATCCCATAATCATCCTTTTGTTCCCCTCCCATCTAGCGCTGGACTCCTCGCTGCCAGACCGGGAGGGGAAGTGGTGTACTCCACATGCTCCCTGTCTCAGCTGCAGAACGAGTACGTGGTGGAGAGAGCTGTTGAGGTAGCAGAAACCGAATACAACATCAATGTCCACGTTGAAGACTTAAGCTACTTCAGGAGACTCTTCCAGGACACATTTTCTTTCTTTGCAGACTGCAAGCTGGGGGAGCTTGTCCTTCCCCACCTCACGGCAAACTTTGGACCCATGTACTTCTGCAAATTACGCCGGGAACAGTAGGGGTGTTGGCTTTTTGACCCCCTATCTCTGGTGGAGGTGAGATTGGGCAGTTCTTCTTCATCCAGCTGCATCTCTGTTGTGACATTCTGAACTGAGGTGATCTCACTCTTTTCCAGGCTGTAATAAAATACCCAGAGGTTCCAGAGAGAGAACTGCTTTGTGATTCTTTTAAAACACCTGGAGGGACGTCTGCTTTTGTGCCACAAACACCGAGAATAAATGATGCAGACATGATAAGAGTGTAATGTGTCTTCTCTGTTTCTGGAAACAGGACTTCCCAGGATCTAGCTAAAATTTGTTTGCAACTTGATTGTTTTTCTTCTCCAACCTCCTCTGCTTATTTGTAAAATAACCACAGAGGGAATTAGTGCTTAGAGCAGAGGTTGAGCACTCTGGAGTTTGCTTTTGGTTCTGCAGCCGCTTGGCCTTAAGCAAGTCACTTCGTGTGTTACATTTCCTCATCTGTAACATTGCAGTGATATCTTCCTCCCTCACCTCTGCTGGCGTTTGGAAGTGCAGCCTCAGGTCCTCAGACGAAAGGCTCTATAGACACGCATGCTATTACATACGCCCCTGCAGTCATATCCGGATAGGACTATATACGTGATGTATTAGCTCTTGTGTAGCGCTTTCCCAGCAGGAGATCACCAAGTGTTTTTTAAAGGCAGGTAAGTACCACTATCCCCCTTTCTAGATAGGGAGAATGAGGTCTGATGGGTGGGAGAGCTGCCAAGGACACCCAATGAGCTAATAGCAGAGCGGCGGGTAGAACTTGGTCCCAGGTCCTATCGTGGTGGTTTCAGTTGATTTGCGGTGAGCAGCTGTCTATTACATCACCTCCTACAGTCCCCTCCTTTGTTAGCAGACAAGAGTAGCCAAGAGCCACACCCACACGAAATAACTTCTACCTGTACTTCCCCATGGAAGCAGTTGTTGTGGAGTGTTCAAAAGGCCTAACGGAGATAGGGGTTCTGCTGCTATTGAAATGCTATTGGAGTTAGGGGTGCAACTCCCTTAGGCTCCTTTGAAAATCCCCGCTGCAGGTTTTGTCAGCAGTCAGGAATGGGAGAGGATGTGCCATGAATGAGAGGGCAGGGAGTCTTGAGAGAACTTCTGCACCATAAGAACCCCCCATATAGAAACAAGAGACTTAAGCCCTAACTCAGTTGTTGATCAATTGCATAGTCAATTGCTTGACTACACTGTGGTTAGTTGGTCTTGAGTATATTTCATAAGGAACCAATGTCAGTCAGGTTTATTCAGGCGGTACAGGAAAACAGTTCTATACGTTACCAGTCTGCGAAGAGGAGTCCCATGCGGTGAGATTCACCTTACGTAGAAGGTGCGCTCCCCGAAGTTGCATCCCTTAAGCCATCTTTTTATACCCTACTTGTTTACCAGCAAAAGGTACTGTATATGTCACCTGAAACTGGATTCAATTGATCAGCTTCTTACCTTGTTTGTTTCTGGTATCATGGTGTAGCCCTTTATCTTTTGTTCTAAATCCATGCATTCCGGGTCATGATGCACCCTTGTCTTTGTTCTGAACACATGCATTTCATGTACAAAGAGGTATGAAGACACCTAGGTCTGTATGGGTAACTCCTTTCCTGTTGCCATGAGGAAATAATCATATGCTCTGAGACGGACAGTTTTCCTATCTACTCAAGCCAAGGCTTACTTCAGCTAATGCAAGGTGTTATGGGCTATGTAGCGTACGTTTACAGGATTATAACAAAGGTACAGGCCAATTTTGGGCTATATAACTGCTGTATTAATGCTTAATAATCTGTATACAATACTTAACTACTTGGAATATGTATGACAGGTAGTATTAGCAGCATAACATGGATATAGGTTAGCCTGCGTATATTAGCATCAGCTACAATTAGCAATTACATTTTTACTAGGTGACAAAGTGGCTGACTATAGAACATGGTATCTGTGATTTGAGGGAACATGGAACACGTGGGAATGCTGGAACTTTGAACCTTTGCATAAGTTTCTCTTGAGCTGCAGGCCTTCATGGAAAAGTTCTGCAAAGCTTAATAGGGATGAAAATATCAGGGTTTTAAGGAAATGTCATAGGGTTCTGGAGAAATGATTCCATCTCCCTCTGGAATGGAACAGAGAATCTTACCAAAGGGATATACAGCTGTACTGAATTCTCTAGGGGTTTGCCACATGGTGGGGGAGTTGTTATGGGAGATGAATGCAAACAGAGCGTGGGCAGAGCCTGGGTCATGACCCAACACCGTCTGACCATGCATCATGCTTGGGGTGGAGGCTAAAGAGGGGCCCATGCATCCTATGGAGGGTGGAGCCAGTTCCCATGGGGATGGTAACTTCATCCCAGTGGTGGGAGCTGACTATGTACACCCTGGGGGTTTAGACGGAGGATGGGGCTGGGCCCTATGTTTGTCTAGTCTATTTCAATAAGTCCTCTAAATTGAAAGGGAACCAGCCAGTCAATTAGAAGCTACATTTAAATAATTAAGTTACACAGGTTGGACCTGAAGAGTCAGTCTTTACAATGTATTGTGCAGAAGAATGATGGAAACACCAAAAAGCTTGTCAGGCAGAAACAATTCCATGGGAACATGGCGACGTGGGCTGGAGTTCATTCCTATGCCCCACTTACACCTTTAAAACAATGGGACTCACGTGGGGCAGAGGCCTTGCGTTGGCCTTCGACGAGATGAGTTTCACCCATAACTTCATGGAACAAGGCTCTTGCGTTCATATTTGACCAATAGCAGGTTGGCATTAAGGACTCTAGTTCTAGCTCAACCCCTCTAGCAAATGCTAGCTGTCTTTGGACATAGACAATTAATACAGTTATGAGGGCTGGGGAGCCACTAGATGGGGCTGTTAGGCAAGTTGTATTTCACTGCTGGAAGAAATCGCTGTGCTGCTTTTAGTTTGGTGTAGAGGATTCCTTGGGGAGAGCTGTAGTGAGCAGCAAGGGAGTTTGCTCTGTTTTAATCTCGCTAATTAGGCCTGGTCTACACTAGGGTGGGGGATCGATCTAAGATCCGCAACTTCAGCTACGAGAATAGCGTAGCTGAAGTCGACGTATCTTAGATTGACTTACTTTGCATCCTCGTGGCGCGGGATCGACGGCCGCCACTCCCCCGTCGACTCCGCTTCTGCCTCTGGCCCTGGTGGAGTTCCGGAGTCGATGGGGAACGAGTTCAGGAATTGATGTATCGCAAGATGCGATACATCGATCCCCGATAGATCGATCACTACCTGCCGGCGGGTAGTGTAGACATACCCTTAGAGTCAATCCTTAGTGCAGAGCTGCTATCCCGCAAACCAGCCTAGGGCTTGCTAGAAAACTGCCCTAAACCAAGTGTTATTGGCCCCCAAAACATGGAAAAACCAGCCCAAAAAATCAGGGGGCGGGGTTTGCATCCGGGTGTCATGACACTAGGTGGGAATTTGCATCCAAACATCACGAGGCTGGGTGGGGTTTGCATCATGACTCCATGCTGCAAAAAATGTCGCAGGGCTCTGGTCAAGGGGGGGCGGAAATGTACTTCAGTGACAAGTGGAAAAACCACAGGCTGCAACTGCCTGAAAACATCTACCCAACGCCACACGGACAAGCCAAATGTTACTTCTAATCAGCTGACTTGGCTACATTTCACCTGCATGCAGTTGTTGACCACCCCTGTTCCAGGACTGGTGTGTATGCAAAGCATTTGCACTAAAAACGTACCCAGACTCCTCGTCAATGATTTCCCCTCCAATGGCAAGCCAACCTGCAGAACCAAGGCTTAAGAGGAGCAGAACTCTCCTGGACCCACTCTGAGACAGCAGGCGTTGTGGGGTAGGTGAGGGGTATTTTGTATTTGTATGTTATATTTTTATGAAATTCAGAGGGATTTTTGTGAATGGCAGTAAGATATGCTGACTTCATGTCATGTTCATAAGTTGACATTCTATATAAGGGAGAAAACATCCTTTTTATGGGTGATCTACAGAGTTGTACAGAATTCATGTTTTTGAGAGTTTCTGGCTATACGTTGTATTTTAGAAAAAAAAAAGCTTTAAAAAGGCACAAACCCCATTGTGAATTTATTGTATTTGTTCAGAAACTATCAAAAAAATCTTATTTGTTTAAGCTTCATTAGTATGTGCATTTGAAAGCACTTTCCACCTGTTTTTGGCTGCTGGCTCACTACTTTTGTGTGAAGTCTAGGTACAGCAAGGAGACCAGGAATGAGTGTGGAGAGGGGGAGATTGGGACTTGGACAGCAAGCTCGGAGCAGGAGAACTAGGACTGGCTGTGCAAGGAGACTGGGACTGGGATGAGAAGCCTGGGAAAAGGAGCCAGGGGTGGGGAAAATGCAGGCCAGGGATGGGCTGCAGGGAATGGGACAGCAGGGGTCAAGCTTGGGGAAAATGGGCAGACGAGTCTGTGCCCTCCAGAGCCTGGAATGGAACCCAAGATGCCTGACTATTGATGTCTCACTATTACTCTATCAGCAAATCTATGAAAACACACTGGGCAAGTGGGAGTCTCATCCCCCTTCCTCCAGTGCTGGTCCACATAGCAGTAGTAGGTTGTTATCCTCTATCAGTTACTGCATTAGCTCAAGTGGTAGAGTTCTGTATGATGGCTCCAACCCTGCTGATGAGCCATGTAGGTGTCAAAATGAAGCTACATGATGGAATTGGTTTTTTTTAGTTTTGCTTTTTAAAAAAAATCTAAGAAATTACAGACAAAACAACATTAAAAGCCCATTATGAAGGTTGCAGAGTCAAGCACTCAAGAGTTAGGAAATCCCAGAATTAAAATCATCTGTGCAACTTTAATTCAGCCCCGTTATGCGTATGCAGCATCATGCATGTAAACAACTGGCGGCTTGCTCCCCCCAAAAGGTAGGGATTGCATTAACAAAGGAAACAGTGAGTTTGGAACAGCTATTTGTTTATTTCACTTCCTTAAAACTGGGCAAATTTAGTCTGGTACAAAACTCATTAAAGGGATATTCAACAGCTATTTATAGATTCCAAGGCCAGAAGGGACCATTGGAATCATCTAGTCTGACTTCCTGTATAACACAGACCAGAGAACTTCCCCAAATAATCTTGTTAGGATATAGATATTCAGGCCTGCCTGTAAAGGCCTGTACTTTAAGAACTTAAGTGTATTTTTATCACTTAGCTAGTTACAGGGGTATAAAAACAAAGAATCAAAATCACAGTCGGCCTGAGTCTGGGCCTTCCCTCCCTAGGAGAGTCTGAGGCCTTGTTCTTAGGTTAAGACCTTTGGCTAAGCAGCAGGGGCAGCCATACGCTGGGAAGCGAACGGTCACATCCTCACATCCCAAACCCGTCACACTGAAATAAGGTGCTGTTGGGCTGTTAGGAAGACGATCCTGTCCTGATAATGCCCATCGCCACCAGAGAAAGAGACAGATCTTAAGATGGTTAAAGAAAACTTAGTTTGATAGCATCCTGTCTGGCAAGAAATCACTTATCAATGGTTGTGGTTGTGAAACCCTCATTTGTGTATTGTTTTATCTTTATGGTCTCCACTTTTCTATTGTTAATCGGTCTGGTTCTCTAATTGTTTCTGTCTGTTGTATAATTAATTATGCTGGGTGTAAGTTAATTAAGGTGGTGGGTTATAATTGGTTAGAGAATTATGTTACAATATGTTAGGATTAGTTAGTTAAATTTCAGTAAAATGATTGGTTAAGGTCTAGCTGAGAATATTACTATATAAACTGAGGTCAAACAGGAAATGGAAGGGAAATTGGAATCATGCTTGCTAAGGGGGGGGGGGGGGAAGGGGGAACAGGGACACTGGCAAGGCTCTACGGCATCAGCTGGGAAGGGGGACGCGGGGTAAATGCTCTGAGGCGTCAGAACTGGGAACAGATTCTATCGGCGTATAGAGATAAGCCCGACTGGTGTGAAGGGATTCAGAATATGCTTGCTTGGACATTAACCCCAATAAATATCGCATTGTCTGCACTTTGGACTTCTGGTCTTTTGCTGCTTGCCGTCTGTGTGACAAGAACCAGGGAAGTGGGCGGGTTGAGGGAAAGCCCTCTAACAAATCTTATAGAAAAAAACATCCAATCTTGATTGAAAAATTGTCTGTGATGGAGAATCTACAACCCTTGGTAAATTGTTCCAATGGTTAACGGCTCTCGCTGTTAAAAGTGTACGTCTTAGTTCCAGTCTGAATTGGTCAGCTTCAACATCCAGCCATTGGATCATGTTAGACCTTTCTCTGCTAGACTCAAGAGCCCATTATTAACTATTTGTTTCCCATACAGATATTTAGACTGTAAACAAGCCACCCCTTAGCCTTCTTTGTTAAGAGGAATAGATTGAGCTCCTTTTGTCTATCACTATTAACCCTTTAATCATTCTCGTGGCTCTTCTCTGAACCGTCTACAATTTTTCATTTGATTATTTTTTATTTTTAACTCTAGCCCCCACATATAAGAATTGTCTATGCCCCTGATCATGCTCAATCCTCCAAAACAATATTCTGTCCTCACATGCGTTCTGCCCCCTCCAAGTCTCATCATCAGTTTTCCAAGATGCCAGTTCTCCCCCACCGCCCCAACATCAGTTCTCCTTCCAGAGACCCCACATCAATTCTGCTCCCCCCCCCACATCCCTGCCTCACTATTTTACATATAGGGAAACCAAGTCACAGAGATGAAGTGACTTGCCCAAGTTCACCCAGCAA